TGTCATTTTGAAGAAGTAGGCTCAGGTTGTAATTTTTTTCCATCTGTTTTTATTGCCGTTTACAACACTGCATTGCTTGTTTTAGCTTCAGTTTCACTAAATTATTTTTTGTAATAATAATAATAATTATTATTTTAATTGCCAAATTCTGTTAAAAAAAATTTTTTTCATCTAATATTGTATTTTAAATTTAATTATTATTTATTATTTAATTTTTTATTTATTTAAAGTTATTTATTTACCCCAGAGTCTTGGTTCTTCTTTAAGATTTTAGTTAGTTGCCAAGGCAACATTTCTAAACATCTAAGTCTTTAATTTTTTTAATTTAAATTAAATTTTATTTCATTTGATAATGATAGCAATAATAGCAATCATTTTATTTATTTAATTTTCTTTTAATTTCTTATCCTCTTTATTTTGCTCTTTTCCTTTTTTTTAAAAGCTGCTTTAGAACAATGTGCTTTGTAAAAAGTACTATACAAATAAATAAAAGAATCGCAGGTTAAGGCCACAGCCTTTCACACCTGTAATTGTGGTTTATGTGCTGAATTACTAATTGAAACAAACACGATGAAACTGCAGGATTACATTAACCCAGGGTTAAATATGATCTTAAGTTAGCCACTTCAAATGTGAAACCCCCCCAAAAAGTGTTCATTAACATCCAGAAAAAGCCGTTTATATAGAGCGTCTGGTTTAAGGATCAGTCACGCGTCTCTCTCGTTGTTTTCTCTGTAATCCGGTGAAATATTGGTGCAGTAGATGATTCCTCAGGCCGCAGGCGGCGTTGTGCTGTCGTGACTGATCGGTGTTTCCTTCAGAAGTGTGAACGCAGCAGAAGCGTCGCTCAGAGTGATGGAGAAGATGCTTCTCCTGATGAATGTGGCTAATAGCAGCTCAGGCTGTGTTCTGGGAGTTTTTCATTGAGACGTTGTGGGACGAGGATTTAGTGGCCGTAACTCAACGAAGAGATTCATCAGCACAAAACAACGGAGAGAGAGAGAGAGAGTTATAGGAAGAATACTAACACCGGAGCTGAACACACTCATAAGGAGATAGCAATTACTGTCATATGATCATTTTATGAGAGTAGTTGAGCTGTATTTCTTCTCTTTACTCTCTGACCAAGTGTTGATTAGTCATTTCATGATTTCTTGTAATGTATAAGATATTGCACAGTCAACTGGTCATTGGTGCAAAGTAAAGTCAGATCTTGTCCACCAGGTGGCGCTGTGTCCCTCAAGAGAGAACGGCTTAAAGGCACAGTTCACCTTCAGTTGCTGGTCCCCATTGACTTGCATAGTGTTTTTTTTTCTTGAAAATTTTCTATGGAAGTCAATGGGGACGAGCAACTGAAGGTGAACTGTCCCTTTAACAAACCTGCTGCAGACATGTTTCTGTCTTCTTTTCTAGACTCCTCAGAGAAATACATATTGCTCAGTGATTGCTTTTTCATCGCTCACAAGATGTTTAATCAACCTAAGTTCCTTTAGTGAAATACAAATCACGAGTAAGAGTCGAGAGCTGTAAAGTGACTGTCGGTAGCAGCTCAGATCATTTGATGAGGAATGTTGGAGTTCACAGTGAGATCTCTGACTTTGGTGTCTGAGCACAGTTAGATTTACTTTCTCAGCTGTTTCTCCAGAGAAGAACCCTTCTTCAATGAGGTTTAATGGAGAATTTGCTTATCTTTTATATTATCAGATTTCATTTTAGTTTAGTTTGATCAGGACAGGTCATATGTTTTATTATCACAGTGACAGTTCTCAGTTCATTGTTTTTGTTATTTATTACTTACATTTTTTTTTTCCGTGAAAGTTAACTATTCCACAATATGTTTTTAGTTCATCCAGATAATAATCCTTGATGTCAATTTTAGTTTCACATGTTAAAGAGAACATTTAGAATTAATTTATTAATAACAATAATTTTACTTGATTAATAAAGATGAATAATGTAGATCAGTTGATTAATAATCAGAAATGTTATTTAATTTATGTATTATTTATGTCTAATCAGATCACGTCTTCTTCTCCCAGTGACTGTTTTCCTTGCATTTTTTTTTTTTTTTTTTTTTTTTTTTCTATTCACATTGATCTCCTGCTTTTTTAATCTGTTTTATTTTCATCTTTTCTCTCTTATGTATTTCTGAAGCCGGACATCAGCGATTTGGGTCTCGGAGCACTTTGTTGGGATTATAGAACTCCATCCAGACATACAGATGATGAACAAATACAGATGTTGTGTGTGTGTGTGTGTGTGTGTGTGAGAGAGAGAGTGTGTGGCGTCTGAATCTTGGAGTGGATTAGTCTTTTAAAGTGGACGGAAGCGTAATGAATTACAGTCCAATCCCTCCTCCTGACCACTCTTAATCTGCGTGTATGTGTGTGTTTAGATAGGATTATGTATTTTCAGGACCGCGTCCTCACATCAGCAGGGCTCTTCTGCTTATTATTCATGCATGTATTCGTTCATTCAGTCTCTGGTTAAGTTTGTCATAGCATTCAATGCTTTTATATCATTTTATATATATACTATACAATATAAACTATAGTAGTATATTAATGATACCTGTATAACAGTGACACTTTACGATAAGGTCTCATTTGTTAATATTAGTTAATGCATTGACTAACAATGAATAATATATTTTTGCAGCATTAACCTTTGTTAATAAAAAATGTTGTGTTAGTTTATTATGCATTAAATAATGTTAACAGATACAACTTTTGATTTTAAAATGTTGGGATTATTATTAACGGAGATTATTGATTATTGTTAGTTCATGGTAATTAATGTAGTTAGCTAATATTAACAAAAGAAAGCTTATCGTAAAGTGTTGCCAGAATGTGACCCTGGAGCACAAAGCTTAAGTCGCTGGGGTATATTTTTAGCAATAGCCAAAAAAATATGGTATGTGTCACGGTACGCTGTTGGAAGGAGTACGAGGGAAATGAGGAGTACAATCAAAATCTTTAATCCAAGGACCACAGGGTAAATCCACACAAAGGGCACTGGCGCAAACACACGTACACAACAAGTCGACCCGACAGAGACTGACTGCACAGACTGGGACTTAAATACAGGGATGATTGGGGAAACACAGGTGCATGGGATGACTAATCAAACTAATTAACAAAACGAGGAGAAGATCATGACCAAATAAGGGAACAGAAACAAGAGCAAAACATGACACAGACAGTCCATGATCCTGACAGTATGGGTCAAAATGATGGATTCTTCTTTTATGCCAAAAATCATTAGGATATTAAGTAAAGATCATGTTCCATGAAGATATTTTGTAAATGTCCTACCGTAAATATATCAAAACTTAATGTTTGATTAGTAATATGCATTGCTAAGAACTTCATTTGAACAACTTTAAAGATGATTTTCTCAATATTTAGATTTTTTTGCACCCTCAGATTCCAGATTTTCAAATAGTTGTATCTCGGCCAAATATTGTTCGATTCTAACAAACCTTGCATCAATGGAAAGCTTATTTATTCAGCTGGTCACAGATAACACCGGTGGGGGGGAAAAGTACATTGAGGAAAGATTATGATGACTAAAAACGAAGAAGATAAAGAGTCAGTTATGATTTCATTTTGATTTTCCTAATTGTTATTTTATTCATAATTGCTATTTTATTTGACACTTTTGGGATTTCTAGTCAAATCGGCTTTGCATTTATGTATTTTACCTGTAATTCTGACATTTAAGAATGTGTTTCTGCATTTGGTCTGCACTACATTAACTATAAACGATAAGAGGAAGAAGTTTTGTGCTGTTTTTCAGCACACACACACACACACACACGTGTGCCCAGATGGCTTTGGTGGACCTGTAATCCATGTGTCGTTTCTCTGCTCCAAACACAGCTGGGATTACAGTGGGCCAGTTTGTTTCCGTGTGTCTCAGTCAGTCTCTCTGTGGTCATTGCTGAGAACCTCGGCTGTCCATCAGTCCGCTGAATCTGCTCTTTCTCCGTGTGTCCTGTTTGATTGTGTGTTCAGATCCAGGTAAGCTCGTGGGATTCACGCATCAGGGAGTAGAGATGAAATCATGCATGGTGTAAATCTGAGCGTTGAACTGCTTTCAGACGAATCTGAAAGGTCAAAGTCAGGATTTGTAGCTCTGTGTGTATAATTTTAATGATTTTACTCCTCAAACATGGTGGTTTTACTGGGATCTCTGTGATTGTGCAGCTTCGTGTGCTTTGAAACTTTTCAGCGCTCACTGTAGTCAAAGAGATTCTGTTATTGGGAAAATATTGTTATTTTGACCAACATCAGAATTGTATGACGTGTATGTTTTGTTTCATAATAATAACCAAACAGCTCTATTTTTTTCTGTGTGTTTTTGTCTATAAATTCTGATTGTAGCCACACACACAGACACACAGTATTTGTAATCAGGCTTAATTTTGCTGGCAGATGATAGTTGTTCACTTAACTAGTCCATGAGAGGATTCCCATGAGTCAGTGATATGTTGCATTTTAGTTTGTCCACATAATAATCCTCAGTTTTCGACTGACAATTTTTATTTTATTTTATTTTTATTATATTTTATTTTATTTTATTTTAATTTTTTTTACTTTGTTAAATTTATTATTATTATCAATAATAATAAAAATTATTATTACATATATGAAATTATATATGTAGTTTTTTCACATTCATTTTATTTCTATTTCATTAAATTTCACAGTACTTTTCTTTGCATTTGTGATTTAGAAAAGGTGCATAATGACTGAGTAAATTTCTCTGTATGTTGGTCAAGAAACAACAACATTAGTGGAGTTCTTTTATTATGAATTTGGTGCAGTAAAAAAATTAGTAGTTGACCGTCATCATGCTTTTTTACAGATGCACAAATGAACATGAGTGAGGTTCTGCTGTCTTCTCTCACAGGTGTGTGTTTCCTGTGTTTGGTGGACGTGGTTCCTGTCAAGAATGAAGATGGCGTGGTGATCATGTTTATTCTGAATTTCGAGGTCATGCCAGATGATAAACTGCACGACCCACAGGATCTCAATCATAAGCTGCCTCTGCTGTGGCGCCATTCAAGTACGTCAATGTGTCCTCTTCCTTTTCATGAAACGATGCAGCTGCTACACTTATTACAGTAATTACATTATTATGTAGCTAAATAGGCACACATTATATATATATATATATATATATATATATATATATACAAAGTATATATATTTTCCATTTATTTATTTATGTATTTATTATTATTGGGGATGCAGTGTGTAGTTTGGTCGGATATGTCAAAAGCAAGCAAGTAAAACAACGCACAAGTTACTAAAGTTATTTGACGAGATAGAGAGAGCGAGCGAGAGAGAGAGATAGAGCGAGAGAGAGAGCACTGTTGCATTGTCTTGATTGCTGTTCGCTCCATTGGCACATGGATCATTTGGATTAAAACTAACTGTTAATATAAAACACAGAAAATGATAGGGCATTCATTATAAACAACATTTATTTATTTTTTTTAAATATCAAGCATACACGACTTGGTTCCCTGCATTATTACAGGTAAACGTCTTGTGGACATGTGTCATGTCATGATTATGAAGGTGTCATGTCATGATTATGAAGGTGTCATGTCAGTCTTATGCACACCCCTTCAAGTAAAGTGTAACCAGACATTTATAATGTTACAAAAGATTTCTATTTTTAATAAATTATTTTCTTTTCAACTTTCTATTCATTTATTCTATTCACAAAAATATTGGGCAGCACAACTATTTTCAACATTGATAATAATCAGAAATGTTTCTTGAGCAGCAGATCAGCATATTATACTGATTTCTGAAGATCATGTGACACTGAAGACTGGAGTAATGATGCTGAAAATACAGCTGCGCATCACAGGAATAAATTACAGTTTAACAGATATTCACATAGAAAACAGCTGTTTTAAATAGTAAAAATTATAAATATTTTTACAGTATTTTTGATCAAATAAATGCCACCTTAGTGAACAAAAACAAACTATTAAAAATTGTTGCCTTGGTAAAATAAAGCTGAAAAAAAAACGTTGATAAATTAAGATGTTGCATTTGCAACTACCTAAAATAAAGTAAGTTTGAGGTACTAAAATTACAAAAACAAAAACTAATAAAAATGACAAAAGCACATAACAAAATTTCTAAAACTTAAACTAAAATGAAAATAAAACTGAAAATATAAAGATTTAAGCTAATTCGAAATATTAATACATAATAATATATTATAATATAATATATGGCATATGAGACTTCTTTCAAAGACATAAAAAAATCTTACCAATCCCATAGGTACAGATATGATTTGGTAACACATACTGTAAATGTCAAAAGCGTTTCAGAGCAAACAGAAGATTTTCAGCAACCTTTCTTTATGCAGGTGCCATGAACAACAAGTTCAGCATCCTGAACTCTACCTCTGATTCGGATCTGATGCGTTACCGCGCCATCAGTAAAATCCCACAGATCACGCTCAACTTTGTGGACTTTAAACCGGACCCTCTCATCTCCCTCCCGGCCGGAGAAATGGACATCATCGCACCTTGCAAACTCATCGACCGCACGCACAACGTCACTGACAAAGTCACTCAGGTAAGACGCATCTTTGGGTATAGCAATGACGTGAACGTGTCTGGCTGTTCATGAGCTGGACAGACTCTCTGGAGACATACAGATTCACTGTGATGCTTTTAGTGTTTTGGGTTTGAGATTGAGATATTGTCCTGTTTGTCCTTCTGCTCTAAACGATATGATTCACACTTTAACGTCTCTGATGGCGAGACAAACATCACCGTGAGACTTTGGCGCGTCAGATAAAACACTTTTGCTCAAGGACGGTTTTTAAAGGAAGCTGTTGATGCAATGCAATGTGCTTTATCTAGCAAAGTCGAACTCCCAAAATTGTGGTGTTTTTGAAGTTGAAGTGTTTGCTCACTCAAAGTTAAAGGGATGTGACAATAAAGTCTTGCGAAAGTGACACTGACTGACTTTGACAACCTGCACTCTTAAAAATTTCAAAAGGAATATTTCGCCTAAAAATAGGCGCATTTCCATTACAGATTTGCGCAAAACTTTGGCGATATTTTATAAATGTCGATAAAAAAGTATTGTGAAATGACGGCGTTTCCATTAACCAATGTTATGAGACTTAAACGTGACCTTTTGCCTCTCGTGATAAGTCATGGCAACGGATTTTGGTGGGATTTCGATTAATTTTGGCTACGTTTATTCAAAGGAGGCTTATGCGTGTATCTTTACAGAAGCAGCAAAGAGAGCCGCTTCAGAAACGTGCGTGGCGCGGCTGGAATAAACCATAGCCTGTATAAAAATATAAACACAAGCATTGAGTGGCCGTAATCAGCTTCAGTGGCCGTATCAGAGCCACACTGCAGCGCAGACGTGTGCAGTGTAAATTGTCTAAGCATTAATGGTAGGGAAAGCCATTTATACTGGAGCGCGGCCACTTATGAAGTGTTTCTTGGAGGTTATAGTACATTGAAGAATGATCATATGACTTTTTGCATACGCCATGTGACCTGTAAATGCGAAAAAGCCGTTTCCATTGCAGTTTTGCGAATTATTCCTTTTTCGCATTGCCTGAAAAACCACCTCATGCGAGCGTAAAAACTTTTTTGCGATATATGGGCGTTTTTGCGAAATTGACTCGTTTCCATTAGGCGTATTTTCAATTCGCAATTTAAATTTGCGCAATTTGAAGGGTGATGGAAACGCGCCTACTGCCTCACTCATGATGTTTTGAATCATTGAACCAACCTCTTTCTTCTGTGAACACAAAATTAAATGTTAGGTGAAATATTTACACTGATCTTTTCAATGCAATGAACTCTAGTTGAATGCAAGACATCAAAAATCACCGTAAAAGTGTAATAACAGTACTTCACATGTCTTCTGAAGTCATTAAAAGCTTTGTGTCTAAAGCAGAACTCAGAGGAAAAGTCAGTTCCAATCAGCTTCATTCAAAAAGACAAGAGTAGAATGCATTTTGGAAAACCTAAGCGTTGCATTAATGCATTTATATTTGCCTTTATGCATTTGGCAGATGGTTTTATTAGACTTTCATCCTCTGGGAACTGAACCCATGACCGTGGCGTTACTACAGGAATACAATTAGTGCCTGATTTCTATATAAGCATCTTGCATCATATCTGTGCAAGTTATATATAACAAACCATTCTTGCATCATATCTGTGTAAGATTTGAGCATAGATTCATTGTGCTGTCGTTTCATGATGAGGCTGATAGTAAACTCAGTAACTTCTTGATGTTCACTTGCCTTCAGCTCATCAGGAGAGATCCTTCATTGCTCTGAGAAGAGTTAAACCCTCATATTTTCTCCCAGACGGACATAACTGGGTTAATTTAATAATCGTAGCGTGATGCCCATGTGCTGATGCTCATTGCTCGCAGATTAAATGATAAAGAGGGATCGATGCTTCTAGATGAAATCATGACAGATGAATACATGCTTCAGAGTTTGAAGCATCACAGCCCCTCACACCTGCTGTCCTACATACAGGACCTGGTCACATGTTTTGGTAATGCAGCAGATTATCAGGTTAATGCGTGTCATATGAAGCATATGAAGCAGAGTCGTGTCATATGAAGCATATTCTATTGATAGCATTAGAGACATAATGTTAATAAGCACAGAAAATAATACAATCTTTTAAAATACATTTCTTATGCATTATTAATAATTTGGTAAAAAGTTTTTTAAAAAAAATCATACAAAAGAGAAAATAATTATCATTTTATTTAAATACATTTTTATGTTTATTTAAATATTTTTAAAACTAATTTTAATAATTTGTTAATTGATTCTTATATACAACATTTTTTTATTTTAACTTATTCTAAGTGTCTAAATTGAGAAAATTATTAAATATTTTTAAAACTAATTTTAATAATTTGTTAATTGATTCTTATATACAACATTTTTTTATTTTAACTTATTCTAAGTGTCTAAATTGAAAATAATAATAAAACATATTTTAACTAAGTAAATCTTTTTAATGCTGCATATTTTAAATTATTTTTAACTAATTTAATTATTTGTTAATTAATTATTCGATCCAAAATGTGGTATCTGAACTGCAAAGTGTCTAAATTGAGAAAATAATGTTTTTAATTAAATTTAATTTTTTTTTCTTTTCGAAAAAAAATAATTAAAATTAATTCTTCCATACAATAAATGTGATATTTGAACTGCAAAGTGTCTAAATTGAGAAAATTATTAAATATTTTTAAAGGGGTCATATGATGTTGCTAAAAAGAACATTATTTTGTGTATTTGGTGTAATGAAATGTGTTTATGCAGTTTAAAGTAAAAAAAACACATTATTTTCCACACACTGTACATTATTGTTTCTCCTCTATGCCCGCCTTTCTGAAGTGCTTCGATTTTTACAAAGCTCATCGGTCTGAAAAGCGAGGTGTGCTCTGATTGGCCAGCTATCCAGTGCGTTGTGATTGGCTGAATACCTCAAGCGTGTGACGGAAATGTTACGCCCCTCACCGTACTGTGATGATGCCCTGTCCGGCCGGAGCGACGAGACAAAAACATTAAAACCCATTATAAACGAGGCATTTGTTGCATCCAGTGGGGACATAATTACTGATTATAATGACTTATACTGTCTTTTTACGCGTTGCATCGCGCCGCGTAAACATAAAACCATGTCTGCATTTGTGATCGGAGAAATGACAAACAACAAGCGCTACTCTACACTGCTCAAAACTCGTGTTTGAATCGTCAGTGGCAAATGATAAAAGAAAACGTACTTACGTGAGTCAGAACTGCCGGCATTTTAGTCTAACGTTACTCTCCAGGATCAGTAAACAGTCCTCCATAAAATGTGCCGGCGATCCACAGCGCGAAGTTGATGTATTTCCTCAGCGACCAGCACGGATCAGCTCCAGGCATGACGAAGCTGATATCGTCCTCTTTTGGAAGACCAAACAAAGTAGTTTCGCTTTCACAACGAAGCACACAGCGTCTTCATGACATGACGGCGGCAACAATACTACAGCGAGAATAAAAGTTACGCCTTCTTTCTTTGCGTGAACATTTGGGTGGCATTATGCAAATCTTCCCACACAGTGAGGTAGACATGTGGGGGCGTGTTAGAACGAGGCGTTTTAGATAGACGTGGCTGAATCTTAACTTTTATAAAGAATATCTCTTTGGATTTGAGACTTTAGTCTTTGCAACTTTACAGATCTTTTTTATGCACCAAGAGCTTGTAACACTCCAAAGAGAAAGGAAAACTTTAAATCGCATCATATGACCCCTTTAAATAAATAATTTTGAGGCATGTTTTTGTTAATTATTTGTTAACTAATTTACTTTGTTACTTTAACGGAATAATAATAGAACGGAGAAGTTACTTTAACTGAGAAAATAATTTAAAATAGTTAATTAATTTTATGCATATTTTAATCTTATTAGTATTATTATTATTCCATACAAAATGTGCAATCTGCAAAGTGTCTAAATTGTCATTTTAACAGTGGGACTACTATTCTAGTTTTTCTTCCACTGATCAGTGCTTGAAGTGGGCCGGTACGCAACGGTACGCAGTACCGGCACTTCTATATTTTAGCCTTTAGAGTACCTGCACTTTTTTGTGCGTACCGGCACTTCTGACATGTTGCCGGTACTCCGAGTAAAAGCGTCAAGGTCTGGGTGAATATATGATCCCATATATGATTAGAAAGGACAATATATAAATCACACTACCCAGGCGGGATCACCTCTCATCTCGACCAATCACGTGAATGAATGCAAGCGGAGTGTGTGGTGCTAATTTGAATCAGTAGGCTAATTTATTACGAAAATAATATCTTAAAATGAAAAGAAGCAGGCTTTTGCGATCACATCATTTTAAACCGGTAAACTCCTGGAAAGTCCAAGGATCCAGTAAACGAATTCAAACAGTAAGTTCAAAACAGCACTAATGCAGAGAAAACACGGCCGATTTCATCAGCGATTTTGGAGAGAATAGTGACTTGCGTCCAGATGTCAGTAAAATTATTCTTTTCAGCATGTATTTGGCTTAAAAGCATGAGTGTTTTATAATGAACGCTGATTATGCGGTGGTCAGAGATTTAGCGATTCTGAATGGATCCGTATAGTAGTAAAGGCAGGCGATTTAGTGGTCTTTGGCGTCTCCCTGTGGTTCTGTTTGGTATTGCAGCTTGACTTGTGCTAATTTGTATTGAAAACTTGTATTTAATTATTGATTGATTGATTGTGGCACTATACATACATTGTAGATTATTAAAAAGTACATCCTAGTGCTGGGCGGTATAGCGGTTCATACCAAATACCGGTGTTTATTTTTGTTATGATATTCATTTTTAAAATACCGCAGTACTGGTGTATGTCGCTTAAACAACTTTGGAACGCGACACTGTTTGAAAGGGGTCTCTTTTCACTGTTGCACTGTGGTGAGGGAGCAGCTGTATGTGTTACTAAGCGTGAAAGTTCAGAAACTGAAGCTGTAGAACTAATAGAACGTGATGACACAGAAGAACTCATCCACAATATCCACACTGACCTCCACAAATAT